CGGCGGCACGCGCGGCGATCTGGACGGGACAAGGCTTCACGGTTTCTTCGGATGGAATTTACCACGTCAATAGCGCGTGCAGATTGCAGATAAATTCCAACATGGTTCTGCTGTTTGAACATCTTTCCGCTCGCGGGGGTTGGAAGCAGCAGTATCGGTGAGGAGTAATCCAGCGCAAGGAGTTGAGTGAGGGCATTCATGTAAATGTCACTCCTGCCATCAAAGCAAATAAGAGTCACTAAAATTGGGAGTTTTTGTTGAGGTATTTGCCGTCAACTATATATGTTTTGCTGATAGAGGAAGCTCTGCTTCAAAAGGAGAAACATTCGAGACAACAGAACAAAGAAAGGGTCGACGGTAGGTCACTAGGACTAAGCCCAGCAGAGGAGAGGAACGCCAGGAGAGAACACAAATTACTTCCCCCAGAATCCCTTCTCCTCCCTAAGTCTCGTCCCAAACACAGTGATTGGCTCACTCACTTCCCCCTAATTGGAACGTCCTCCCCCCAAAGACATGAGCGCCCTGATTGCCGTACAGCACTACGCTAGTTCCTTCTTATCTCTTTCTACTGTTACAACCACCGCTGTCCTCAAAATTCCAGCCGTTCAGATGTATTTCGTATTGCAGAACCCTTGCGGATTTTATCCGCAATCTTCACACGTTGACGTGTTGAATTCCCGCGATGCGTCGGGATCGCCGCGCCGCTCGCCGCGCAATTTGCCGCGTGCCTAACCCGGACGAGCCAAAAGTCCGTCGCCCGGGGATCGGTTTCCATAACGCATCAACGCTCAAAGCGTGAGGCGTAATAACTCCTTTCCTCGGCTCATTCCATTTCAACCGGCAAAGTTAGACATCAGTCAAGGTCCGAGATGATCATTTGCTTGAGCTGCATTGAAATATTTCACTTACAGAACTATGCAGTTATTGTTTGCTGATTTTGATGATCGCAATGTGATGATTAGAGGAGTGCGGTTGAATGATATTCTTGCAAAAGATACTATCATTCTGCAGAGCACTGTTGGCTACCGAAATATTCCCGATGCTTTCAAAATCATCTACTCGCAACGAGGTCTCGCTGGTTTCACTTGTGGAATGCAAGCGCGAGTCATTTTCCAGGTATTTGCTCTCATTTACTTTTTCATCACGTCAACTGCCCCTGAAAACTCGAAAGTTTTCTTCAAGGCTCAGATTTAATAATGATAAAATGACTATTCTTGTTCTTTCAGATGCTCTGCCATTAGCATTGTCATGGTCTGTGTACAAATTATTCAGTTATGTTCTCGGATACACGACGTCGTCAACCTGAGCTGCCTTTTTTGTTTAGCTTATATAAATATTAGCTATTGTCTTGTATGCTTCTTTGTAAGGGCAATGACGTTGTGTTATTTCTATGCCATTGTGTTCGGGCACATGCAGTAGTATTTCAGGAGCCTTTGGTGTGTAAAGTATAACATGGGCTTCTTTCCGCTATCCTTTATTTCCTAAGCTTCGAATTGCCATGACGGATTATAAGATTGATTCCAATTGTCTGGCAGCGTGTTTGCGGTCAAGCCTTCAACAGTAAACCGGTACCTATGCTTCATTATGCTTTATTACAAGAATTCGAAATGAGACCATTTCCACTTTTCTTCATTATGCATTTCTTGCGTACTAGTTAGCAGAGTTAGCAGTCGCGGCACGTTCTCAGCCGTTGAATTTGTTTTTCGAATGCTTATGACGCTTAGCGTTTATGACGCTTCATCTTCCGCTGCTGCGCTCTCTGCAATGAGAGAAAGTCAATCGTCTTAAGATGTCTAGTGAATGACAAGTTTAACTTACTGTAGTGTAATTTTCTATGGGCTCTGCTTTGGGTTTCGTCCTGCCTCTTGCTCTTCGAGCGATGACGAGATCAGAACCAATAAGCTCTCCCAGTTTTTTTCGTTTGCTCTCTTATTGCAGCTACATAACTAATCATGGGTTCGTGGAGACTTTTTTTCATGCACATGCGCATGAGCTCACTGGCGTAGGCGATAGTCTGAAATAAATTAGACATGAAATAATCACTGATGATGGCACACTGAAGAACCGCCTCAATAAGCGCCGACCCATTGAAATAGCTGGAACGCTTCTTTTGCAGCATCCTGTCCTCATCACCTCTTGAATATCTGCGGTGTTGTCAGGCAACTCCACTGGGTCTGGATTCGTTTGCTTTACAAATTTTTTAATGATTTTTAATGATTCAGTGTAACGTATGAGGATTGATACTCAAAACAATCGTTCCCACTTGGACTCCAGATTTCACGTACTCATCAGCGGCCATGTCATCACGTTGAAGATTTTCTCAATTGAAATGAGGTCAATGTGACCGCCCTTCTGGCCCACTTCGATAGCTCAGCTAACCTCCTGAAGTTCACATGCCATAGGTTTGCAAAGGTACATTCACTGATTTTCCTTCCATTCCAAGTAGCACAATCAATGTTGCTCATGAATCTAAGATTCAACCCACTTCTTTCGCCTTATTTTTGAAACTATCGTAATATGAATGGAGGTCAGAACAATAGTAGAAGAATTTCACACATTGTTCCCTGAAGTTGGTTTTTTTTAAGATGACTGAAGAAGATTTGGATGGTCACAGAGGAAAGTTCCATCCATATTCTTCTTGCCTTTCCAAGAATTTCTTCTACTCGTCTGCCGAAGTAATGCG